CGTCTAAAATCTATTGCAACAAACCCATTTCCAGGTGTTGTTGATTCAGTTTCTGCTATTTTTTATGTTTCTTATAATGAAGATTTTCTTTTAAAGAAGATCTTCATTATAAGAAAACGAAAACTTTATCTTGAAAACGATAAAAAAATATATATTTTTTTTAAAAACAGCAGTAACAGTGACAACACATAAGAACCACAATATTTTAATGAATTGCCTTGTAATTCTACTTTAGGATATAATTAAAAAACTTCACACTTTAACAACTGGAGAAACGTTATGTCTCAGTAAAAAAGATTTTTTTTTCTATTGCTTTTACTTTTTTTTCTTCTCATAAGAAAAATAAATTTGTATTAAATAATAGTAGCAATAATAACTATATTGGTTTTTATTATTGAGATTGTTTTGATGATTAAAAAACAATTCTTACACATTCATAGAATGAATTTGAACTTAGATCAAGTACACAAGTATAAAGTGTGAATATATGTAGAATCAAGAGAGTAAGCTGGTCCTTGATCCCAATTGAGTGTTCTTCGTTTTTATAATATAAAATCTACTTAAGATGTTTTGGCAAAAAAATGATCATTAAATTACACATAAGGTATAATGTTTTCTAACATGAACTGTTACTTAAGAGATCGAAATGAAAACAAATATTCAGGAAATTGGCCCGATAGAAGTGTACTTAACTTTTTAAATTTAATAATTTAAAAATACACGTAGACATCGAGGTATGAAGAAGTCTTGAAAACAATATATATATATATATATATATATATATATATATATATATATATATATATATATATATATATATATATATATATATATATATATATATGTATATATATATATATTTATATATATATATATATATATATATATATATATATATACATATATAATATTGTTGTATATATATATATATATATATATATATATATATATATATATATATATATATATATATATATATATATATATATATATATATATATATATATATATATATATACTTATATATACAAATAAATAGAGGGTAATGTGAACCTATGGATAAGTTAAGACGCTATTTTTTTTTTAATAAAAGTATTGAAAAATTTTCTTTAATAACTATATTTTGTTATGTATGTCGTACATAATTGTTATATGTATGACATACATAACAAATATAGTTATTAAAGAAAATTTCTTAAAACTTTTATTTTTAAAAAAATAGCGTCTTAACTTATCCATAGGTTCACATTACCCTCTATTTAGTTGTTACGATGAATAACTATTTATTAACATCATTATCCGAATAGTAGATGTATTGCATAGATGAATTCAGAATAGAGAAGTAAAATCTAAGATTATCAAAAGAAAGATAAATAAAGATAGAAAAATTCTTATCTCTTACAAAGGTTTTGACTTTTTTATAGAGAATGCGCTCTCTGTTTGCTAACTTTATACGAATAAGAAATACATAAACCGTAAAGTTGAATCTACGGAAAATTTATTAACAGTGAGGCAGTAGGAATCAGCGTGATTATTTAACTTAATGTAAAAAGTTAAATAAATATTATTTACAAATTAAGCTACTTAGCTTGCCTTTTAATGAGACGTCACGCAACGTGCAGCAATTTTATTTGCATGATATCCTTTTTGAATAATCCCGCTGAACAAAAGTTTTGTTTCTAACTGTGAGAATAATTATAATTCACAAAAAGAAGCATGTAAACATGTTTGAATTTTTTCATTCAAATTTTCATTCATTTAGTTTTTTTTTACTTTTTATCCACTTTTTAAATTTAACCCTTTAAACAATATAGTTTCATGTTTACAATTGTCTTTAACAAGTAGTTATAATGAATATTTTAAAAAGTTTGAAATCTTAAAGGTTGTAGTAAAATCATAAATTACACAACACATAAAGAAACTAAAGATTTTTAGATATATATTAAAAAAAAAACTTGAATTTTTTTTATCTTTAAAGTTTCTATTATAACAATAATTGTTATTGTTACTATTATTATTATTGTTGTTATTGCTATTCTTCTTCTTATTATTATTATTATTATTGTTATTATTATTATTATTAAATCGTAAATATAATATCTATAAGTTTTGCACATTACATTACACAGTTCGCATGCATAAAGATACATAAAGTTCGCTTTTCGACATGCTCTGATGCATTTTTTTCCTTATTTACACTTTGGTTTTAGTTGTTTTTCTTTCCTTCAATCTTTTCACCTAATTTTATTTATCTATGATACTTAATTATTTAATCTTATTATCAAATCTTTAAACTAATATATATATATATATATATATATATATATATATATATATATATATATATATATATATATATATATATATATATATATATATATATATATATATATATATACATGGGCGCCTGCAAGGGGGGGGGGGGGCAAGAGGGGCACTTGCCCCCCCCCCCCATCCTGTATTTTCTAAATATAGAAAAAAAATTTCTTGTTTGTAACGTTCTTCATGCCATAAAGTTTGTTACTAAATTTTTCTGTAAAAAATATCTTTTAGTGATACTTCGTTACAGTTTCGGAAAAAACCTAATTAAGTTTTTTCCGAAATAATTAACAAAAAATGTTTTGCCCCCCCCCCCTCCTTAGAAAATTTTCTGCGGGCGCCTATGTATATATATATATATATATATATATATATATATATATATATATATATTAAAGTCACAAAAAGATTATTTCTTCCTGGTTTTTGGTATCCAGGAGCTCAAAAAATGTAAAGAGGCTTACGGACTACTTTTGGGGCAAAAAGTAAAACTAGATTAGAGTTGATAAACAATCAAATATTGAACGCGGAGTCGTTATGTATAATTGCGGCAACGACTCTAGGACCCCAGGATGAAAAACAATAAGTTACAAGTCATTAAATTTTATGAATTTTTTACTTTTTGCATATTATAAGTTACTTAATATTTTAGAGCTTTTGGACACCAGAGACCATAAAAAGTAGAGTTTCATAACTGGGCTTTTTCGCTTTTACGTTTTTTGCTTTAACGACCCTGAACTAATAAGAGTAAAGTAAAGATGTGGAGTCCCGAGTTGATTCAGCCGGAGTTCATTTGGGATTCCTCATCTTTACCTTACTCGTACTGGTTTGGTTCAGGGTCGTTAAAACGTAAAACATAAAGCGAAAAAGTTACTGGTTTCAATCAGCATTTTTAACTATTAGATTAAAAAATTAATGAAAATGAATAAAATAAATAATATATACGAATAAATTTGAAATATTACAGTTAATAATGCTAAATTAATAATAAATTATTAATTTAAATTATAAATAAAAAGTTAATTTAATGCAACGTTTTGTTTTCAAAGATAACAACGTGCTAAATTATTAAAAAAAAAAAGCTAAAGAAAATATTCGCTTTAACGACTCTTTTCGCTTTAACGACCTGCTACCCTCTTCTTTTATGCTCACTCTGCTTTATTCACATACATGACTTTTAATAATAATAAAAAAATACCGGAAGAAAAAAATATAATAGAAAAAGTTAGTCTCAAATGTATTTATCTCATTTGAGACCAAATTTCAGAGAAGAACAATTTTTTTAATTTTTTTTTATGCAAATTAAATTATGAAATAAGATTAGCTATAAAACAAAAATAAATTTCTGAAATCAAAAAAAAAAAAGGTGACACCAAAAGTTTCAAAATTTTCAAAATTAATTTACCTAATTTTTGGCCTGAAGACAAGGTCAAGGTCAAGGATTAACGTACTCTTTTCTCGCGTGATAATTATTTTGATTAAAATTGCTTTATAAACGCATGCGCATTTAAGTTGTCTATATCCAAAAGTAATGGCGGTGGAAATAATTCGATATAGTATTTTATAGTATCGATATAATAATATTTTCTCAAGAATATCCCGTTTTTACTACCTTAAAAATAATTTTAATAGGTGTAAAATTATTTAGAACAACTATTTATTTAAATGATTATAATATAGTTAGTTTAGTATGTCAAACAAATTTACATCATAGTTTATTCACACAAATAATTTGTCCTACAAGTTAATGCCTGTCTTATAGTTGAGTGCTTAAATAATGCCGATTCCTAGCTAAATTTTAATGACATTATGTACTTACATATTTATGTTTTTGATAATTTTTATAAAATACACTAGAATATAGATACATATATATAACTATGTTCTAGTATATTTAGAACAAGTTAACAGTAACTATTTTATTATAACTGTACGTATATGTTACAGCATAAAAGTATAAAAAAGCATTATTAAATGATATTTTGAATTTAAATGTGGGTTAATGTTTATACGAGTTCATATACTTAAATATTATGTTGCAATTTTTTTTTTTTTTTCAACAGATTGTGACAATCTGCCGTTAGGTTTTTTAAAAAGCTTTAGAAGTTTTTTAATTTGTAAAATATTCTCAATGAATCCAAGTTTATAAATTAAATTGATAATTTAGCATAGACTTAATAAGGTTTTTTTTAATGCATAATAACAACACACTTTGTTTATTAATAGTGAAGTAAACAACCACTTTACAAAATGAGCTTTGTTTTAACAGACTTGATCTGCTAATTTTTCAGGCCTTGAAAAATTAGAAAGATCAAGTGTGTTGAAAAAAAAAAAAGGCTAATCACCATGAATCAGGCTAAAAACTTTAAAAAAAAATTATTGGTATGTAAAATATGAATTTATATTAAAATATAAAATTATCATAGTTGAAAAATGCAGTAAAAACATTTTTGTACTGTATAATAAGTTGTAATCAATATTCATAGTATATAATTTGAACATTTTTTACTATTATAGTACTGTATATTATTATATATTTGTCTTTTTGTTTACACTTTTTGCTATAATTTTATACTAAACTATTACGCTTAGTCTTCTATATTACATGCACATAGAACGTGTGCATGTAATATTTTTCACAAATATTTCATTTGGATTAAGTATTGTATTTTTTATTTAACAGAAATATGATTTATTGCTCCAAAAAATGTTTAAAACATCAGTTAATGAAATGCTGGAGCAACAAAACAACCACCCAAATACTCCTGATTCAAGTGATGCAAGTGATTCTGAAAGCCCATCAAGTGAAACTGAAAGTATCTTACACAGTGTTAGCGAGCCTGATGTAAGTTTAGATGAAATGTTAAGTTTAGCTTGTCGACAAGGTAAACTTGATATTGTTCAGCTACTTTTACAAAGTGGTGCTCATGTAAATCATAGAAATAAAGCTGGTAATACTCCTTTGCTAGAAGCTTGCAGTCAAGGCCATGTAAATGTTGCAAACTATTTGCTTGAAAATGGGTCTAAAATTGACACACCTACAGAAGCTACTCTTGATAGTGCTTTAACGTGGGCTTGCACTTTAGGGAACACAAACATAGTAAATGCTTTGCTTTATAAAAAAGCAGATGTTGAGCATCGAACAAAAGATGGCTGTACTGCTTTGATGTTTGCCTGTTTAGCTGGTCATAGAGAAGTAGCTGAAAAATTACTTGATGCAAATTCTGAAATAAATGTTGAATCTGCTAGCAATAAAGATAGTCCATTAACCTTTGCATGTTGGAAAGGACATGTTGATGTTGTTGAACTATTGTTAAAACGTAATGCAAACATAGAACATCGAACAAAAGAAGGATTTTCACCTTTGATGTTTGCAGCATTAGGTGGGCATACAAAAGTTGCTCGTAAACTGTTAGAACATAAAGCGCAAGTAAATATTCCTAGTGGTAGTAATAATGATATTCCTTTGACAAGTGCATGTTGGAAAGGACACACTGAAGTTGTAAAATTGTTATTAGAGTTTGCCTCAAATATTGAGCATAGAACTAAAGATGGCTGTACTCCACTAATGCTTGCTGCCAGGTTTGCATTTGATTATTTATTTATAAAACTTATGTTAAAAATAAACATTTTAATAAAATTAGGATGGGGTAAAACTTGAATCTATCATGGTCACCACAAAAATATTTAATCTTGTCAATTATAGTTTTAATAGTTTTATAGACAAGTTGACCATATAATTGTCATATAATTTGTATATTCTAACTTGATTTGCTTTATATGTACAATAATATTAATGTTATATTAGTATTTTTATATCATATTTATACTATATATGGAATATATTTATACCATATATGTAATATGTTTATACCATATATGGAATATATTTATACCATATATGTAATATATTTATACCATATATATAATATATTTATACCATATATATATTATATATTTATACCATATATATAATATATTTATACCATATGTAATATATTTATACCATATATGTAATATATTTGTACCATATATGTACCTTATAAGTAACTAGTAAAAAAGTTACTTTCACAAGTTTAACTTCCTATAAATGGTTTTTTCAGATATTATTATTTATTTTTTTACTTCTGTCAATTAAATAGTCAAAGATAAACATTAAGTAGTACATTCATAATTGAGAGGTGAGAGGGTCCTTAAAATTTTTTATAAACATATAGATAGAAAGCAAAGTAGTTGAGTGTAAAAATAGGCTCTCATTTAATTTTTTTGCTTTTTTTAAACATCTATCTAGGGATATTAATTTCTAATTTTTACTTATGTTAATGTTTACCTAGTTAAATTTTACAAAAATCTAAGGAGGGGGGAGGATGGGGAGTTTTTATTTTTGCCTAAAATAATGTTAAGTTTGTTCTAATAAGGATATCAGGAATTTTTTGTATTATAACATATTTTTGTTGATCGACCACAATTATTTTTAAAACATTTTAACATAGACAATTTTAATAAAACATATTATAGTATATTGACAGTAATATAGTTAAACAAATTTCATATTTAGACAGTAATAGTTAAAATACAATTTAACTGTTTTATATAATAATTTTAATTAGCATTAAAAAAAATAATATTTTAATGAACAATGTGTTTTAAAGAATGGTTTTAGTTTATTATTTTTAAATATTTTTATATTATATAACTATAATGAAACATGTCAGTCATAAAAAGCTATAATAAAAAAAATAAATTATTTTGTATGGTAATTACAACAATCATGATCCCTACGGGGCAAGTTGCATCAATTTTCATCAAGTTGCATTTAAAGAAATGAGTATTTTTTGATTTCACACTTTTCTAGTTAATTCTAAAAGCAATTAACATTTTTATTATAATAATGGAATAATTTGTTTATAAAAATTCCTATAGTTTTCTTATTTTTTTTTTATTTTTTTTTTTATTTGCATTCACTCCCAACAAGGCTGCAAGCAACCACTATTAAGTTGGGAGTTACTAGGAAAAAAAAAAGAACAGAGTTATAGAGCAAGGAAACGGTTGACAGAAGACTTGAAAAGTTGAAGGTTGTATGAGTCAGGAAAACATGAAGATGGGAGAGAGTTCCAAAGGATTGAAGTGCGGGAAAAAAACTAGATGAATAAAAGTTTTTAGAGCATGCAGGGACAGATACTGTAAACGAATGAGACTTAGCTGAATGGCGAGTAAAACGAGAATGAATTTTAGTTGATGAAACTAGAGATGATAACTCCTTTGAGTAGTGACCATGATAATATTTGTAGAAAAGAGAAAGAGATGCAACTTTACGACGATGGAAAAGAGGTTCAAGCTTAGCAGATAGTCCAGGTCCAACAACATTTACAATGCGTTTTTGGACCTTGTCAAGAAAAGAAAGTGAATCGTTAGAAGAACCAGCCCAAATATGACAACAGTATTCCATACAGGGACGAATAAGAGATTTGTAGAGGTAGAGAATGGAATCAGAAGTAAGGAAATGGCGAGCACGATAAAGAGAAGCAACCTTAGCTGAAGCTAATTTAGCAATTGATTGTATATATGGTTTCCATGAAAGGTCAGTAGTAAGCGATAATCCAAGAAGACGTAAAGAGGAGGACTCAGTAAGAGGATTGCCATTCATTAATATAGGAATGTTGACCATATTACGGTAGTTGTTTGCAGTAAGCAATTGGGTTTTTTTAGAGTTGAAATTTACAAGCCACTGTGAACCCCAATCTATTACAGAAGTGAGATCAGATTCAAGATCAGCTGCTTGTTCTAGGCGATCGAAAAGAGAAGACTTTTTGTCAAGACAGGAGTATAAAGTTATTAAAAGGAGTATAAAGGAGTATAAAATTATTAATTTAGATATAAGTTTGTATACTGTATGTAAATATGCTCCTTAAGTGTTGTAGACTGGCAAGACTTGTTTTTTCTTCATAAACACTTATAGAACTTTAGAAAAGTTCACTATTCGGCATATCCAGCAAAAATATACGGTACAGCTCTAGAAAAAAGAAACCAATACTAAAAAAAGGAAAACAAAATTGTAACAAAATATCAAATTTTAAATAAACTAGAAAAATTTAGTAATTCAAAAAAAAAAAAAAAATTTTTTAATTTTTATACAACTTTTCTATTTTTTTTTTTTTTTTGTGTGTGGTTATTATTTTTAAATACATATTTTGATATAAGTTGAGAAAAAAAAGCATAATTTATAACAGCAATTTTACAATTTTAAAACAACAATTGTATGTTTTGATAAGCAATTTATTCATGATTTTTAAGAAACTAATTTGCTATGCATGCTAAAACAATAAGAAACTTTATTAATTTTTTTTTATTAGTTTTTTCTTTTCGCTTTAAAAAATGTTTTTTCTATATTTAATTTAAAAAATTTAAAAATATTAAATTTAATATTTAATATTTTGCTATATTTAAAATAATGATTCCTCTGTTTGAAAAAATGCATTAAAAAACTTAATAATAGATTTTTAAAAAGACTCCTTAAAATTGTGTTAAAAAAGTTAAGTAAATTAACAATGCACTAACCCACAAATTTTTGGAGCGTCAATAACAAAAGTTAATCATGAAATAAACTATAGGGTTTAAATGCACATTTTGAAAAGTCCAACTAAAGTGCAGACTATTTCAATGAGGGTAGTGAAAAAACCAAATATATTATTTATTATTTTATATGAAAAACTTGTTAAAAGATAAAAAATAAAAATTTTACAAATAAACAGCAATTACATTTCTTTCCTGTGCTTTAATAAAAACATTTAAGCTTAGCAAAAACATTTAAAAAACAAGTTTTAAAATTGTCCTTTTTTCTAGCGCAAATAATAAAGTATTTTCTTAATATTCTGGCTGACAAAATTGGTGAATAAATTGTATATCAACTAATGCTTTTGTTTTTGTTATATTCTTATCTGCTTTCTTCCTCGACTATTAATTTTACCCTAAAAAAAAAAGGAAAACAAAAACAGTTAAAATATATAGGTATATTATTTTTTTTACTAAAACTTTTTTTTTTTTAATTTTAAGATATTCTATTTCATATAGTATTCATTTCCTTTCTTCGAGTATTGCTGTGTTATTCTTTGTAGTTTCTTAGAGCTTTATTTTGCCACAAATTCTTGAAACACCTTCTATATATAAATGTGGTCTAAATAAATTACTTTGAAATTGTACAATAAAGATGCGCGGCCGCATGCGCTTCCCATGAGGTCTTTATATATGTGTGTGATTTCACACCATAATCTGACCACACCAATGCTATTTGATTTTGAGAACTTGACCACAGCTGTTGAGATGTTTTGAAAATTTGTATACAATTTAAAAATTACATTTTGGAATAAATAACGTTTATTTTTACTAATGTTTTTATAATATAAACCCTTTTAAAAAATGTAACAATTTATATTGTTTAATAAATACACACATTTATAAATCAAAAAAAAAAAGATTTTAAACATTTCTTTGCAGGCGTAAAAAAAAAAAAAAAGTAATTAGATTGTTTCTTTAAAAAGTTGATATAATTTTTTTTATTTAAAGACATTTATAATAAAAAATGCATACTTATATAAATATAAAAAATATGTGATATTCATCAATACTTTATACAAAAAATCATTAGCAGTGATTTTTTACTTTGTTTAAATAATATAAAAAACATAAGTAAAGATCAAAGTTATTTTATTCTATTGTATTATACTATTTGCATGCATCAACTGACAAATAAGTAGAACATACAAGAAGTGCTTCATCGTCTACTGACAAATAGGTAGAACATGCAAGGAATGTTGCTACATCTACTGACAAATAGGTGGAACATGTGAGGAATGCTGCAAAATCAACTGAGGGTATTGGTTTGGGCAGGCAGTCTATCAATTAAAAAAAATATTTTTTTTAACTTTTTCTGGTCTTTTATGTAAATTCTTTATAACTAAATGGGTTATAACTAAAAAGTGATAATAACTTTAAAAGGGCATAACTCCCTTGGTTCATGAGATAAAAACTTAATTTAAAAAAGAAAAAAATAGTATATTAGATGGGCAATTTATTTGCGTATTAATTTTTTTCAATGAAACCATTGCGTCTTACATAGTCTAATTGGCGCCATGTTGACTCAAAAAGGTGCTGTACAAGAAATTTTTCTACTTTAGAAAGAGAATACTTTATTCTGTTATGCAATTTCTCGAGATTATCAACTTATTCTCCAATTATTCTCATACACTTTTCCTTTGAGAATACTCCAAAAATCCTCAATCGAACAACATTTAGGCACATTTGCAGGATTATCTTCAAAATATGTATTTGCCATCAAAATGATGTTTTTTGATAAAATAGAATTAGTTTGTTCTTGATACAATCATTTTTGCACACTTCTTGGTTAGCTGCAAAGCCATATTCTCTACTATTATATTGGAATATTGGCGAGATATTCTTTTATCGGAAAGGCAAATCCAAATGAGTAATTTCTTTTCATATTTTGTAGTGGGGTTGAATTTAACACTTGTTGCTGTTTGAGAAACATCACTTGAATAATAAATATTATTTTCATTAATCGAAGAGTGGTTAAATGTGAAGTACGACTCGTCAAGGACAAATTATTGCCGACCATATTTTTCCTAATTCTTAGGGTTATATATATATATATATATATATATATATATATATATATATATATATATATATATATATATATATATAATTTTTATTAACTGTTTACTGTGATACATTTTTATTAATTGTTTTTATATGCACACTTTTTGGGTAAAATATTGAATTACAAATAAGTTTTGAAATTTTTTTAGTTTATTTAATTTTAAAAATATAAAGCAGGTGTTTTTTGGATCCTTTTAATAAAGTTTTATATAGAAATACACAAAAAATTTTTTAGAGAAGGTCATCTTTGCGTTGCTGAGTTACTTTTGGGTAATAATGCACAAGTTAATGTTCCATCTGGTAGTGAAAACAACATTCCTCTGACACTAGCATGTTGGAAAGGTATAATATGTTTCATATATGTATGTTATATATATATATATATATATATATATATATATATATATATATATATATATATATATATATATATATATATATATATATATATATATATAGGCAATTCTGCAAGAAAGAGGGGGAAAAAAAAAGAAGTTAAGAAAACTTATGCTAACCTCAATAAATTCTTTTTTTAACTATTTAAGAATACTTTTAAGCAAAAAAATGATTTAAAAAAATGATTTTATCATAGCATAGCATTGTTTTAAAGTTGTAAGGGTTATGTAAACAATATTTGACGTTTTTACATTGTCCTGTTGTGAGGCGTTGAAAAAGGTTAATATTCTGCGTTTTTATGTAACTATTACTTTTAAGTTTAAATTGAAGACAATATTAAAGGGACTACCAAGTCCCGAGACATGTTGTGTTCATATTAAAGAGAATGTTAAAAAAAACGAAGTCGAAGCTTGTCTTCTCCATTTTCTGCGGTATTTGGAGTCTGTAAAATAAACACGATTTTCCAGGTGCATTTTACAGACTTGATAATTTATTCAAGTGTGTTTAATTCATAGAAGTTTTAGTACATGATGTCATAGATTTTTTTGTTTGTTTGTTTAAAACACCGAATATTATTTTTTACATGCAATTTCCAAATCATATTCATTTTTATTATATTTTAAAGTTCTAAAACAATTTGTTTGTTAAAAAATTAAAAACAAAATAGTATTTTATTTGTACAAATTTTTTTAAATAATTGTCTAGACCACATGTATTTTGATTTCGCTTGTTATAAGTTTTTCTTTCAAAATATTAGATAAAATAAATTTTAACCTAAATAATAATGCACTTTTATTAATTTACTTTGTAAATATTAAAAAAAAAATTATCGCATTTTTCTCTGATTTTCAAAAATCTATTTTTTGGTATTGAGGTGATCTTATTTCATTATTTGTATTTCCATTATTATAACATCCAATATATATTATGGCAGGGGCTTAAAAATTAAAAAATAATATATATTAATTTTTGTTTTACGGACATACATGGAAACATAATAAACTTGAATGTTCTTAAAACATCTTGCAGAAGAATAAAAAGAATATTCGCAAACACTAAAAACCCGCCAAGTTTACGAACAAACTAATTCTATTGGTTCAAAAAATATGCTGACTAAGCAAAATAAAGTTCTAGAGTATTCTGTTAAAATGTTTTAGGAATTGTATTATTAACAATTTGTTGCGTTTTGAGATATCTAGCATAAATTTTTTTAAGAATATATTATCAAATGAACTATTACTTTAATATTATGGCTCATTCTCGGAGCCACATCTGCAAAGCCGTAAATCTTTTAAACTATCATTTGTTTACAAAAATAAATATTTTATAATATATATATTTTTTAAATTGTCAAAATTTTGAAAGTTAATTACAAAATATATATTTTATTAGTATATTCTTATTTTTTATATCTTTTCCTAGTGCTTGGTTTAATTAATTGTTCGTTAGATTTGTAAAAAACTAACAAACAATTAATTGTTTAAATTTTTAAAGTTCGTTAAACTTGTTTAAACAACTTGCATCAAAATGTAAAGAACACACTCGTGAATCAACGGAGATATTCTCGATTTGGCGTGAATCATCGGAGATAACTTGATTTGGCGCCATAGGGGTCCCTAGGTCAATCATCACCGTGGCCCATGTAGCCATGGCTCTGGTTGATACAAAAAAACAAAGTTTTTTTCAATGTGAAGATTTTAGAAAATAAAATAACTAACTCTAGTTAGCTATTTTAGTAAAATTTAATAGTAAAATTTTTAAATAATTTCTAGAATGTTTCCAATGGCGTCATGTAATAAAAACTTCTATGAATTAAACACACTTGAATAAATTATCAAGTCTGTATAATGCACCTGGAAAATCGCGTTTATTTTACAGACTCAAAATACTGCAGAAAATAGAGAGGACAAGCTTTGACTAAAACAACAAGATTTGTTTTTCTTGGTATACATTTATTAATTAGTTTTAATCAAAAAAAATTTGCTCAGATGTTTTTTTTTTAACATTCTCCTTAATACGAACACATTATGTCTCGGGACTTGGTAGTCCCTTTAAACATTTAGAATATATTTTATAAAAACGCACTCCAACTATTTATAAAAAAAATATGTTTATCAAATTAATGCGTTAGACCGTCCCGAATAAAAGTAAAGAAGTTTTTTCTAGGCTTCGTATCAGACTTTATAAAGCTAAAAATATAGTAAAAGTAAAGATACTGATATAAGTTTTATCATTGTTTTATTTATTTTTTAAGAAAAGAGCTTTAGATGATAGTGACAAGTAGTAGTAATGATAGATGTGACAAAGTACTTTACAACCATCACAATATGTTTGTTTTTCCATAACAGCTTCTTGATATCAATATGAAATATTTCAGCGCGAACGATTTTATTATTGAAACCAAGTTAAAAACCATTTGCAGTTTGTTTACTCATAATATTGCTTGTTTGCATAATAAAGCTTTTTAAAGTAATTGCATAATAAAGTAAATTGCATAATAAGTAATTGCATAATAAAGCTTGTTAAAGTAATTTAGAATAATTTAAAATTAGAAATTATTTCTTTTTTAAAATATAAATCACTTATTTAAAATAATTGATGTAAATAAATTAAAATTTGTTGAGAAATAAAAACTCTTAACATAAAGAAAATTTTTTTTTGTTAAAATGTTTATTATAGTTTGCATTGCAACTTTTTTGTTTATTTAATTTTGCGGTTTTTTTAATTATAACTTTTGCGGGGTTTTTTTTTAATCATAACAGAATGTTAATCTCAAAGGTTATATTTAATAACATTTTTTAAATGCCTAAATCAGATGCTGAAAGATCAAAAGCTTATAGAGCAAGAAATAGAAAAGCGTTGTTGAAAAAAGAAAGAAAGGGAGTTATTAAAGAAGACAGTTATCAATAAACACAAAAGAAATGAAAACAAGCTAAAAAATCAAGTGACAGTTGGCATCCAAAGCTTGAAAATAATTTTGAAATCAATATTTTTACTTAAAGAATTATTTTATAAACTTATGTTGGGAACAGGGAGCATTAACCATTTAAACTTTAGTAAAGTATTGAAGTATAAATAAAAATAGCAGCCTGCCTTTAGTTACCAATTTTAAATTTAACAAACCCAGTATCAAAAAACCATAATTGAGAACTTTGATGTTATTAAGTTTATATTTATACATAGTTTACATGGTTTTCATGATTATTCATCTTTTTTTTTTGATTGCATTGTTTTATTGTTTTTTAAAATTAGATTTTTTGTTACAACCGTCACAGTTACGACTGTCACAACAAAAAAAGCATAGAAATGCTTATAAAGCATCGAATAAAAACTGAAACCCTGTATATAATAGCATCAATATGTGCTAAATACACAAACCAAATGATTTTTTTTTTTACCATGTTGTTCGCTGCAATTAGTCTGACAAAGCTGTTTTGTTCAAAAGTGGTAAAAAGTAAACGTTACAACTGTCACTTTACGCAGAGTTAATTTTTGAAAAAAGTATAAAACTTCAACTTTTGCATACTAAATTATGCAATAGTATTCCACATTTCTGAGAAGTTTCAACTCATTTCCATTTTTGGTTCATTTTTAATAGCCTAAATAACA